TTCAACATCCGGGGCATATTCAGGAGTTAAACAGTGACCTTCTAAATACATGGTCTCGTAAAAATGGATCTACTGAAAATGTCATAGGATTTTAACTTAAGGTTAAGTATTTCGTTTGTCGTCATTTGAAAGCAGCTTACAACACGGTTCATGTATACACAACGCAGACAGTATGGCCAGTTAGACGATTGACCGGTACGGACATTTCGGCCCATGTCTCATGGACCTTCTTCAAAGTAAGAAAGTCGGATGACCGAATTTGGAAGTTTTCTTGTAGTTCGCAGCGATTGGTAGAGTATATACATATAGAGCCAGAGGGAGACCTTATGGTTCTTGCTGCTGATTAAGTAAGTAATATCTTGGCGACAGGCGGAACAAGGCTCATAAAATCTACACAGAGTTCGTATCATTTGTCGCAGGACCGGATGATTAAATGCTTCCTTAATGTTCTTTTTCAGCCAGTATTTTTCTCTCATGATGCCGGTATACCGGGGGTGTTTCTTTCCTATGCCGTATGCTGCACTGTCCCATAGTTTTTTTACATTGTTCTTTGACTTGGTTGGGGGGGGGGAGTTGTCTTCCCGGGTGCTTATTTACAACATATTGTTAGCGTTGTTTATAAATAAATAATGTCCTATGCTGTTCTCAGGAATTCAATTGTTTGGTTCCCTGCTGCATAAAGAATACTATGTTATAATTTCATCTTGTCTCGATATAGCTGTACTTTTGAAGGATGAACGAATGCCACTCGTGTTCAAAAATTTTGTACGATGTCCATCTTGCCAATACCGGTTATACTTTCAACTCTTTCGCGAAGCCCCATCTACGTCTGATGGTCACAAAGTAAGTTTAATATATGTGATTTAGCTCATTCTGAAAAAGCTTCTGTTCTTTGGTTGACTGTTGTGTTACGATATTGCCGAATCATGATTTTCAGTCATGATTTAGCCAAGCACACGCTCATCTGAAATGGCCCTAAGTTTAAAGTTTTTTCAATGACTGATGAATCAGAAAATCTTCGTCGATTGACAAAGAGGCCTCTCGTCTGATGGTCAATTTTCAGCATTCAGGGAGTAGAGGATATTCAAGAACAAGACGGACTGTGTATCAGAGTAGTCAAATTGTTCTCTTACACAGTCAGGGATTGCTTCTTTAGACAAAGAAAGTAGGCTCTGCGTATTTCACTCTGGCTCGCGCTCTTATGTCTTGATCATGACTCGCTCTTCACATCTTGACTTTTAAAGTACTTCGCTCTTTAAAATTTTCAGAGCCAGCAACCCCCCTCCACCTCCTGAAACACTTGTGAACATCTGCTGTCGCTCATATCCTGACGTACCAACGTATTTCGCGGTTGTGGATGGAGAACAAGTGCTTTTCTTCCAATTCAGCTCTTATACCTTGCCTTTCATGAACAATACATTTGGTTGATCTCTGGGTTATGTAAATTGTTTACTGTAATAAACTTCTGTATAAATGTTCGTTTACTTTATGCAGTGTATCAGGCAGCTAGTCATTATTACTTCAAAATCCTTATCGTTATTTATTAAGCATTATTTATCAGTCGAAAATGCTAGACGCAAGGATCGCACTGTACGTTTATGCTTCAGTTCTGCCAGCGAAAATCTACAATAACCCATTAAACGACAAGAATTACTGCAAAACATCATAGCTCTTAAATTTAGTTCATAAGCTTGCAGGAAATCGACCTTCCTTAATCCACTGGTTCCATTTATCGATCTAAACGGTTTTATGAAGTTAACTCTGAAGCAGTACGTGCACCCACCCATTCGTTCGGACAGCAGTCGTTGTACTGCTGTTTGAAGAATTGACAGACCTCGTTGTCTTCCTCTCGCACAGTCAGACACCGGTGATAGTCAATGAAATTCGTATAGCATTGTCTGAATGGAACACTGATCAGTAAAATGCATTAAAATGTAAATTACAGCAACTGTACTTCACTCGATTAGTCTGAGTGAAGCGAAGGTCGACCGGACGTTTTCGTAGCATCAGTTTTTCCGCTAGTGCGTTATTTGCTTCTTTTGAAAAGAAAATTTTGTCGTCTGGTTTGTACGGCAGTTTATCCGGGAGTTCCCATGACTGGAGAAAAGGATCATTCTTGATCGAATCCGAAGTCATTATGAAACTAAACGTGAATATGATACATCAAGCAAACACAGCAATAAAATGCAGAGAATGGCCCTTTTAAGCGAAAGTCGTAGGAAACTGCAGGTACAATGTCCAAGAGTTAACTATAAAGGACATCGGAAACAGTTTGTTACTCTGTGTACAATTTTCTCCAAAAATTCATCGGAACGTACAACTGAGGAGAGGAAAACAACCAATGCAACAAACCGACATAGGAGTCTTGCTTACTAAGCCGATATTATACTCCTAAACTGTGAAGGCTTTCCAGCAGAGATTAGCTAACGAGGCAGCGCTAGTCATGACCTTATGTATTAAGCCACTTAATGGTTGGTATCGTATGAACGTGGTTCAGCATGTTCATGGGCAATGGACCAAATACCGATGATTCCCTGGCGCCATGGTATTAGTATTGAGCAAGCATCACTGATGACAAACACAAATCTGTCTAGAACACATTCACTGCAATAGCGGATTTGGAGCAACGCAGGTATTATTCTTAAATACCACATCAAGAAATTTTCGTATATTGTCAAACAAATGACCGAAAAGGGAACGACGACTTCAGAAACAAGATCGATTAGAAGATCCAGAGGTTGGGCGGATTTTGTTCATAAATAGACACCATTAAATACAATCTCTGTCATTCTGATCATATTTGATTGCACAGCGCATTTGTTTGCCTCCTGCTGTTAGTAATTTTGTGCTTCGAACTGTCAAAAATCAGATATCCGTTTTTTTCGCTGTGTTTTTATCACTGATCATATGATAAACTCGATTACCGAAAAAGGCCGATAATTAAGAACATTTTTCTTTAAGTCATATGACATGCCAAAATCACTGTTCCACTATATAGTAGTGTTTGCAGATGACCAGGCAAAATGCGCAACATAGAGTTTATGAAACAGTTTGATTTCTGCTCGTTTTAGAGAGAATCACAGATCC